CTAAGGAATAGAAAAGCTGTTTTCAGGCTGACGGTCCTGTTAAGGGTAGTGAGACCTTGCATGGTAGACTAGGCGTTATAGTGTCAGTGAGGTCAGTGAGTCTTTGTGCGTCCTGTGTCATCATTTGGGCACTATTGGTTTTTGTTTGTTTTGTTTTTTGGTGTTTTTTTGTTTTGTTTTGTTTTGTTTTTTTAATGCAAGGGCAAAAAAATCTTTGTACCTGGGGAAAACAACAGCAACTTTCTTTTTTTAATTAAAAAGGAAAATAAAATAAAAGATATTGAGAAAAAAAAAAAAAACAAAAAAAAAAAAAAAAAAAAAAAAAAAACTGATTTTCACTCTCCCAGTAGGTAGCAATTACAAAAATGTCTTATTAGGGGTGGAATTTTGTTCCTACTTTTCCTTCTCTCTGCTGGGATTTTGTCTGGCTTTCACTTGTACAGGTATTGCATGTAATGTTAAAGATTCTGTATTCATATGTGCATCGGTCCTGTTTCCTTGGGGACATCCACTACCTCTGGCTCTTAAAATCTTTCTGCTTCTTCTACCTACATCCAGGAGCCTTGAGGGGATGGGTTTGAAAAAAGCATTCTGTTTAGGGTTGAGTGCTCCAAAGTCTCTCACTCTCTGCATATTTTTTTTAGTGTGGGCCTCTGTGTTAATTACCAAACAAGCTCTCTGATGAGAGTTCAAGAACTCATGTTTTGAATCATAAACAGAGCATAGAAAGAGTGACTCAAAGGGCATGTGTCTATCCCCAGTGGGACATACCTTTACCAACAAGGCCACATCGCCTAAAACTCATAAGCAGTACCACCAACTGGGGCCCAAGTGTTCAAATGCCTGAGACTTTGGGGGACATCTCATTCAAACTACCACAACGTGCTTTTAAAAGTAAAGATTTTTTTTTAATATGACTGTTGCTTATTGTTTCTGTGTGCCAGACTTCTAATAAAAAAAATGAGTCTTAAAGGACTTATTAGAGGTTTAAAAATTATCCACATTAATATGTCTAAGCTTTATATCACAGCTAGATTTTAAAGCACAATTTACTCTTCAATATTGTTATAACTGACCTTCTTGGTGTTCAACAATCACAATCAGAGACTAAAGCCTATGAAGGTACAAAAGCTAAAAGGAAAGCCAATATTTTGATCCTTGTTCCTAGGTTTTATCACAGAGAATGATGGAACATCTCTCAAAGCATTCTACAACTTGGATGATTTACTCATCTTCTTGATCAGAGAGGCCATGGATACCTCAGGGGTTGGACTCTAGCCAGCATGTATTGTGCAAATAGGAAGGCCAACACAGAAGAAAGGTCCGCAGTACCTCCAAGGGAAGCATATGGCCGACAAGACTTTGACTCAACCTAGTGATGGTGCAACTGGTAAGAAGACTAAAGGAGTCAGGGGTTTCTCCTAACTCCCCAAAACTAACTCCCTAAAACCTCTACTGTCTTTAAAAAGAGAAATGATTAGTTTTGGTTGCCAGCATGATCTTCAACACCTAGCAGAAAGTATAGTTAAAATTTTTTAAATAGTAAGACAAAGCAAAGAAATAAAAATCTAGACTCTAAAAAGAGACAAAAATAATTCAGGTTTCATATCCCCATTAAACCCTATGTATGGGCAATGACAACAACTCCAGCTATGATACAAGCTCTGCCATGACCCACCTGTGAACAGTGCAGAGGAATTGAACTCCAGGGGAGTTGTGTTTATCTCTTTATTGGTTTTCTCTGAAAGTTTTATCTCAACATAGCTCAGGGTTCAATGCAGGGACAGAGAAGCAATGATAAACATACAGACTTCTTACCACTTTCACCAGATTCACTTACACATCTCATGGCCAGATAGGGGCTGGATGCATAATGTCTTTAAATATGCTAAGCTAGGGAAAGGAAACATCTTGCCCATGGCATTCCTTAGGCAAGTGGAGGGAGGCATTTCTCTCAAAAGAATGAATAAAAACTCAAGGGGAAGAATGTAGGAAAGTCTATTTCCAAGCGCTATGTGTGTAAATGTAATCACATAGATTTATTTAAAATTATCTGTTGGCATTCAATGGCTACAGCTTTACACTCTCTTTCTTTTAATGCATCCCACCATTACATTTTTTCCTTAAAGTTGTTCTTTTCTATCTCACGAAATTATTTTGAAAGATTTATTTTTATTCTATATTTATGATTATTTTTCCTACTTGTGTGTCTGTGTACCACATATATGCAGTGCCACAGGGTCCAGATGAGGGCAGTGGATGCTGTGGAACTGAAGTTACAGACAGCTATAATGCTCGATGTGGGTGCTCAGCTATAAAGCTGAGTCTTCTGCAAGAGCAACAAGTCTGTTTAACCTCCAAGCCATCTCTCCAGCACCATATTCTTAATGTATAGTCATCAGCATTATTTTTTAAACAACCACTGCCCTGAGAACAAGGTATAAAGAATAACTATTCTGAAATTAACACAGCCATGGTTTTCCTTGAGCTCTTCCTTTATTGTATTATCAGTTGACATAATCATGTTATTCTTTTTTCAACCTTGCATTTTAATCTTGTCAAATTTGTGTCTCCTAGGATATGCAACTATTTCAAAGTAAACTCTTTCTAATTCCAACTATTTCCTTCTACAGAAAATACAAATCCTCTTTTCTATCCAACAGATAAAGTAGGGAGGTTTGTGGTTATCCTTAGGCAGGGACTGTGCCTCTCATTAGCATGGGATTGGTTATAGAAGACTGATTGATTATGATTGTGCTCCCCAGAAAGATTTTTGGGATCACAACTTTTAGGAGGGAATTATGGCATGATTACAGACTAGAGAAAACTGTATCAATATTAACATATAAAATAAATCAATAGGGAGAAAGCTAAAGAAAGGCAAGAAATCATCCCTCACCTGGTTTCATACAACAAATTGAGTATGTTCAAGGAAGCCCAAACTATATGAATATTGGAGAGGAGCTTACTATGTAGATGACCAATAAAGAGTCATGAGGCTCCAGGCCCAATATTTTTGGAGCACATTTTATTTGTTTGTTTGTTTGTTTTTTTAACTCATTAGCTCACTCCCATTCTTGGGAGTGCTTCCAGTTTTTAAATAGACTATTTGTATTTGTATTTTTATTTTTGTATATTTTTTCTATATTTGTATTTCTAACCACATACCTGTGGTCCAGTTCTTTGCGGCGTGACACAGAACTGGTATATTTCAGCACATGTTCCTGTAACTTCTGCAGGTTCCCTTAAGACTCAAATCTGTGTTTACAAAACTTTTGAGCAGAAACACTCAGTGAAGAAGAGTTTTATAAGAGGAGGTGACAGTTTAGCATTATATCAATACAAATCTGCATATTCCTAGAAAGACAAAAAAGTGCATTTGAAGAAGAGACTAAACTTAGTTTTTATTTTCATGTAGCCTTGAACTCTCCATTGCTGACCTTGAATTCTTGGTCCTCCTGTTAGAAATAAATCCTTGTAGTAAATTTTCAATATGAGGTGCACTTAGAGCTCGTCAAAGGGTTACAGGCAACCAGGAAGTGCTAGGCCCTTCTTCCCCAGCTAGCAGGTGGTGTCTGCTTATCTCAGATCTCCAGGGTTGGAAGGCTGCAGGCTGTGTCACTGGGCTCACACTTTCAAACCCCGGGAGTAGTCATTAGATTACTCATTAGTCATTGCATCCTGAACCAGTAGGATGGGGAATTTGGAGAAGGTGCCATGTTAGAAATATTTGAAGATTGTAATTCTCTAAAGTATCAGCCTACGGGAAAAGGAGGGCAGGAATTTCTTGCAACTATGGACTTTAAAAGAAATTTTCTTGCCAGGTGTGGTAGTGCACCAGGGAGGCAGCAGCAGAAGGATCTCTGTGAATCTGAGGCCAACCTGGTCTATAGAGCTCTAGGACAGCCAGGGCTATGTAGAGAGACCCTGTCTCAAAAAACTAAAACAGACAGAAGAAAAAACACTGTCTTGTGTCAAGTCAGTATGCCAGCATTTTGGCTTTTTTCCCCACTATGCTGGAGTCCCATTTTGTAGAATGGTATATTAAAAACTGCTTCACTTTCAGTAGTATTTTTAATTCATTGCAGAGTGAGGGTCTTGTTTCCCACACTGCTTGTCTTTGGATTATAGACTTGAGTCACTACCCTTGGCTCTAAGCTCCACTTCTGTACACATTTGTGAACACAACTTTCTGAGAATCCTTTCCTTTATCCAGGCCAACACTTTTTTTTTTCCAACAATGTAAATTATTTAGTATTTTTCTTCAATGTGTATCTTTAGTGTCTTCTCCTGTTAAGCCAGTTTCTATTCAAGTCCCATGCCAACACATTCTCAACAATGAATTATTATTTTTTTCTACAATAGAAATCTTTACAGGCTCTTCCGTAATCCAGTTCGCTCAAGTACCAGCTCTCCTTCCTGTTAGTTTGAAATATTCTCAAAGTACCCAGCCACAAGTGTGTTCAAGTACTTTAAAGCATCTACGGAATGACTGCTTCTTCCAAATTAAAGTAATCCCTGAACCATAAACATAAAGCATCCATAAACAAGAATATAAGTTCTCTGACTTTACCTCAGATAGTACGTGAAATCAACTTTATAACAAATCCAGCTAGGATTCCTAAAGTCTTTCTAAAAATTGGTAATCCTTGTTCTTGATACTTGTGAATTCTTCCTCATTACATAGGGAAGTGCTTTATCTGGCTATCTTAATACTAATTAACAATAATTATTGAATTCTAGTCTACTTAGGGTTTTTATTTTATGGTACATTCTTGCTCCACAAAACACAGTTTGAAATATAACCTCTTGATCCTGGTGACCACTCTAAGATCTTGCCCAGCTAAGAGAGCTGGTGTCCCACGGAGCGCTTTCCAGGCTCCCCAAGGGGAGTGAGGAACTGCCTAGAACAGCAGCGCCCTCGCCATGCAAACACGAAGAGATCCCGCCCATGGCTTCCGGAAGGGGCGGAGCGCGCGAGGCGCGGCTTCCGGAGGGAATGGATTCCGGAAGGGGCGGCGAGTGCGAGGGGAGGGCCGTGCGTGTGGGAGATGTCCGGAAGCGGCCGCGCTGGCGCGTCCAAGGTATGCCGTGCTGTTGCTATGGAAGCCGAGTGCGGGCGCGTGGCTCCGTGGCCTCTCGGGGTTGGCCCTGGCCCAGTCGGATGGGCACGCGCGGGTTGCGGCGGTCGGGCTGGGGCAGGGTGTCCTCGCCCTGTCCTGCCCAGGTCTGCGCTGAATGGTGCTGGGAACCGAGCGCGCGAGTGCAGACCAGGAGGAAGGGAAGCGCTGCTGGGAATTTGATTTGGAATGGGTGTAGTAGCTGCAGTCTGGAAATTCATTTGTCTCCGTTTTATACTGTTGCTTAACATACCAAGACAGCAGTGGGTATTGGAGTGTTCCTTCTCATTTTTCCTAGATATCGTTCATTACACTTTGCTTTCCCGCCCAAACTTTCTGAGAGGAGTTGCTTCTCAGGTGTGTTCAGCGATCTCCACACTGTAGGCAGGGCATGTAGGAACTGTTACATGGATGACATTTAAGCGAACATACCTCCCTTCATTACTTCCTCATTGTGTTCCTCTTTAGTCATAGTTTGACTTTTCAAAATTCCTCACTTACAGATGTTTGTTTCATAATACTCAAAATTTAAAACAGCAAACAGTGCTTCATTTCTTGATCTGCTCTTTAAATGAAAACATGCTGAAAAAATATCCCACATAAATGCTTCAACTACCTTATCACTGCCATTCTTTATTTCTCAAATGATCCGATAGACCACACTGCCAACTTTGTAGCTGATTTAGGGAGCAGAAGCACATGTAACTTATGACTTAAAAACTGATTTAATTTCGGAAAGATTAAAATGTGAAAAAAAAGGAATTAGAACATTGCTAAATCTACCATAAATTATTTAATGATTGCAGCAATTGATATCCTTGTCATCAGTGTTTATTTATTTAAGCGTCCCTGAAGTCCTGATTCACTTTCATAGCTGTTCATTTACTTTTCCTTACTGCCCTGCTCCGAATTTTGACATTGTGCTTTTTCTCAACTTGAAGAGTGTGTCCTGGGTCGTCTTGTACATTGGTTTTAACTGCCACCACTGTATAACAGGCTACACTATGTTATGAAATCATCTTTCTTTCAGTTTACTAGGACCTAACAATTTTTCCTAATTTAGTAATCTAGTTCTTTTGACTTTATTTCTACCCTCTTCATTCTCTTATTTTTCAATAGTTTTTTTTTTTTCAGTAGTTGTGTTACTTATTGCTGTGTAAAAATTGCTTCAAAACTGAAGCAGCTTTTAACAAGTGTTGACCAAAGGCCAGGAATCTAAGTGTAGCTTAACCTGTGTGTGTGGCTCAAGGTTTCCCACAGGGTCTTCTTCCAGTTTGCTGCAGTGGTGGTTGAAAAGTCAATTTGTTATTTCCACGGGGCGGCTTACAACAGAGTAGTAGACTTTCTCAGCAGCAAGTGAAACAGGCTCTCATGTAACACGGGCTGGCTCTGAATTCACTGTGTAAGTGAAGGTGACCTTGAACCTCACCATCCTGCCCCTACCATCAAGTGCCACCACACCTGGCACTTTTAAAATTCATTTAAAATTTAATTTTTGGTGGTGAGTGGGAAGGGAGCAGGGCTCAGTATATAGCTCTGGCTGATTTGGAACTTATTATGTAGATGAGGCTGGTCTCAAACCTGAAGTGATCATCCTACCCTACCTCCCCATTGTTGGGATTACAAATGTGAACCACCACATCAAGCTTCAGTCAGTTCTTTCATCAGTCCTTTGAAGAAGGTACTGTTTGTCTTATTTTATGGATGATGAAAGTGACTCCTAGCAGGAGATCAAGTGATTTGCCCAGTGTACACAGCACTCAGGTTGTCTCTCATGATCTTGCTCTGTGTTCATACTTCATGCTCTTTTATACCTTTCATAATACGGCCAAGTTTAATTCTTTTCTTTTCTTTCTTTCTTTATTTTTTTCCTTCTGTTTTTTGAGACAGGGTTTCTTTGTTTAACAGCCAGCCCTGGCTGTCCTGAAACTCTCTTTGTAGATTAGGCTGGCCTCAGACTCACAGGGATCTGCCTGCCTCTGCCTCCTGAGTGCTGGTATAAAAGGTGTGCATCACTCTGCCCGGCTGTGTCTATACTTTTGATTCCTTAGTGTAAACATTATACGATGAGGAATGATGTCTCCAATTCATGCTCTTTAGAGCAACTGCCATAACTGGTAAATATATGATGAACTTGTGAGTATACTAGGTGTGAAGAAACATGGAGAAATACCCTCATCACAAATCTTTAATATCAGCTTCAGCTCTTCAACTTCCTGTTCATAGAGTTTTGGACAAGACACTGTCAACCTAAATAATAGCTAGAGAGATATTTCCAAAGACTAGTGATACTCACTTGAGATGTGTATACTACAGTAAAATATAAGCACATTCAAAGAGAATAAAGTGAGGGGAGATTTTAAAGACCATAAGAGAGAAATAAGGAATATTGTGTTTTTCTGATGACCCCTTTTGTTGTAGGGTTACTGTTGCTGCTATGAAACACCATGACCAAAGCAACTTGGGGATGAAAGAGTTTATTAGGCTTATATTTCCACATCATAGTTTATCATCAAAGGAAGTCAAGATAGGAACTCAAGTAGGGCAGGAACATGGAGGCAGACAGAAGCTGATGCAAGGGCCATGGAGGGATGATCATTGGCTTGCTCAGCCTGCTTTCTTATAAACCCTGGGACCACCAGCCCCCGACAGCATCACCCACAATGGACTGGCCCCCTCCCATCTATACCAGTTAAGAAAATGCGCTACAGGTTTGCCTGCAGCCTGATCTTATGGTGGTTCCCTCCTCTAAGATATCTCTAGCTTGTGTCAAGTTTACATAAAACTAGCCAGGACATCTTCTCCAACATGACTTCAGGTCCTTATCACCAAACATTTTATTAGTGCTTCTTGCTTGATGGTTGTCACTTGGTAGACATTATTTAAACACAGTGTATACTTCCATTTGACTTGAAGTATGGGTTTTGATTTTCAGGAAAGCAGGAGAAAAGGAGCTATCAGTAAGAACGGTTTCACTATTCTAGAAGGATTTAGTGCTATACAGAATAAAGTTAGTTTTAGGCAGTAGGAACAGAGGGAAGAAGGAAAGCTCAGCAGATGGAAGTTCATGGACCTTTATAATGCCTGATATTTTTTTCCCTGAGGGAAGATGTGATAGGTCAAGTTAGGCTTACATGGAGATATATAAAGAATTGTGAGTATGGAACTCTGTTGTGTGTTTGAGTGTAGAGGGCTAGGAAATGAGTAAGAATGTTCACCAAAACTGACTGTGGTAGTTTGAATGTAATTGGGAATGGCACTATTAGGAGATGTGGCTTTTGTCATGGTAGGTAGTTTGAATGTAATTGGGAATGGCACTATTAGGAGATGTGGCTTTTGTCATGGTAGGTATGGCTTTGTTGGAGGAAGTACGTTACGGTGGAGGCAGACTTTGAGGTCTCATATTTTCTCAACCACGCCTAGTGTCTCAAACTACTTCCTGTTGCCTGCCGGTCAAAATGTAGGACTCTGAACTCCTTCTCAAGCACCTTGTCTGCCTGCATGCCACCATGTCATACCATGATGGTAATAGACTACACCTCTGAAAATGTAAGCCACCCCAATTAAATGTTTTTCCTTTGTAAGAGTTGCTGTGGTCATGGTATCTTTTCACAGCAATAGAAACCCTAACTAAGACACTGACCAAAGACACACCATTAGAAAATATGGAAGGAGCTAGACTTATCTTTGATTCATTTTACAGTAGTCCTATGGACTGGTGATCGGTTAAGTTGGTTGGAGTCTTAGTACTTAAAAGGCAATACTGAAATAGTTGATCCTAGAGTCCAGAATAACACAGGAGATAATCTCAGTTGGGAGAGGGATAATGACTGATAAAGCCAGTGGAAAAATCCCACTGAGTTTGCAGACACATACAGCCCAGAGTCAGTGTCTCCTGAGGGCCCACATCCTGGTTTATTTACAGCCATCTTGCCATGTCATCCCATGGTAGGGGGAAAAAATGAGAGAACTCATCAGGATTTCTTTTCAAATTTATCTTTTAGGTTTTAGCCTAAGTAATGGTTTTAGTCTGGCATTTTCCCACATGTGTGTCATTCTACTTTAATTCATTCCCCCTCCCCACTGTCGTCCTACCCTCCTTTGGTGGACACCCTTCCTTTCCTCAGATGGCCCTGTGCTGCTTCTTGTTTGCTTTTTTAAAAAAATTTTTATTTTGAGACAGGATCTTGTGTTCTAGGCTAGCTTCAAACTCAATGAACAACCAAGAATTACTTTGAACATCTGAATGTTGGGATTGCAGAAGTGTGCCACCACGCCTGATTTTGTATAGTGTTGGGACTGTGCGTTGTGCATCCCACGCAGACACTGCTGACTTAGCTGTATTCCTAGCCTCTCTTCCTTCTCCTGTGTCCTTATCCTTTCTTCTGCTACACATACCATCTCTTAAGATTGTTTCTTCCTCATGATTCTCCTAGTTTTATGACCTACACACAAATATTTTAATACTCATATATATATTCATATGTATAATTTTAAGTTTAGATTCCACATATGAGAGAAAACATTTCTCTTTCTGAATCTGATGTAATCAACATGATTTCAAGTTCCATTTATTTTGCTGCAAATGTTATGCTTCTGTTTTCATTATGGCTTCATGAAATTCCATTATGTGTGTGTTACATTTTTATTTTTAAACCATTCACTTGTTTACGGATGTCTTGGCTGGTTCTCTTTCTTGGCTACCATGAATAGAGCAGCAATAAAAATACGGATATACAAATACTCTCTGGTATGTTGATTTAGAATCCTCTGAGTATCTAACTGAATGGGTCATATGGTAGTTACATTTTCAGTTTTTTTTTTCCCCCAACATGGAGTCTTCCATGTTGATTTCCACTGTGGCTACTCAAGTTTGCATTCCCATCAATAGTTAGTAAGGATACTTGTTTCTCCATATCTTTTTTTTTTTTTCCCTCATGCAACAGCTGACTTTATTCAGGGCA